TGAGGATAGCTCTGATGCTTAAGTCAGTACTCGGTAGAAGCATGGGAAAGACGAAAGGCTAAGAGTGAGGATAGCTTGTTACCACTATGTTCAAGAGGTCAAAGATTCAAGAAGAAGTTTCTCTTTTGCCCTGAGGGTTTTTTATAAGGACACTCACATTAGGTTGGGCATAACCGCCACTGGGCTCCTGCCACAGCCGTTACCTGCCAGGGCTGCGCAGGTGGCCGTTGTGGCGTACGCTTCGCCCGGGTGAGTGACACGTTTCCAAAGTGGCAGGCACACCTTTGCCTGCTGAGAGGCATGAGCGCAGACTGTCGAAAGGACTGGGACTGCGCCGTCAGTAGAGGATATGGCGCAGTCTGACCGGTACGGTCTGTCAGTCGGAAGCTTCTTGAAGAGCGCTAGTGCGGCTCGTTCGCGAGCTATTTTGTGGCGAGCTTGAAACACTCCAGGATCACCCTTGATGGAATTGGTCCTCAGAATGACTCGTTCGCTAGGGAGCTCAGGCGAACTAATAACTTTAGCTCGCGAGCTACAGTTGCCTCGGAGTATCTCTTTAAAGATAGCACGGGGAGCCCGGAGTTCATGTCATAGCGGACTCCTCCCCTCGTGAGCTATAACGTAGCGGACTGTTTTGTGGGCCCGTCACCTGGGCACACCGGGCTTCAACGCTGGGCTGTCGCTCATGCTGAGTCAGCGTCTACGTATCACCTTTTCATAGGTTGGGTCAAATCATCCTTCATCACCATGAATAGGAGATGTGGCTATGTCAATCATTGGTTATGGTTTGAATTATTTAGAATATTTAGGTTCTAGATTTTTTAGTTGCTTTATTGTTATAATGAGCATTGGAAGTTCAAAACTATAACTTCTTTCTTTAATTTTTTACTATTATGGTTTTTTGGTTCTTGTGAGATGTTATCTGATGATTTGGTTTGTTAATAAACTATTGACTGATAAGTGAAACAAACTTTTGAACTTATTACTTTTATGAATTATTGCTAGTTTGCTTCCCATGAAATCTTGTTAACCCTTTTTTCTAATAGTTAAAACTTTAGCTGGCATTCTTTCTATTGGATATTCTTGGTTTTTCTGATTTGGAAACTAGATATTCTTAAGTGTATTTGTTGAAATTGCTGGATGCTTGCATAAGTTGAAAAGCTTAGAGAAGCAAGCAATTCTCAGCTCATTCATCCTATATTCAAGTTTCTTTTTTTTTTTTGGGCTTCTAATCTTCTTATTTTTTCAGCTTGAAACCCCTCTAGAAGATCTAGAAAGTTGGGGGTATCATCCTTTTCTAACATCAATACACGATGCAATTTTTCAATCTTCTGCTGGTAATGAGGTGCGTTATAAATTGAAACTTATATTTTGAGAACTGATTAGTATCCTCACAAAACTTAAGTACTATGAAAAGTCCAACGGCACTTTTGGCATTTAATGTTTTTCTACTAAGTCCATAGCTGGCCTAGAACGACTCACCTTGACTAATCAGTTCGGTGGCATTGTTACAGAAAATCTATAATAATTGATCAGTAAAGGAACTAAGCACATTATATATAGGCTGTCCTATTAATCTTTGGTAGTAACACATTATGCAAAATCTTTTACCCTCTTTTTCCCAGACAACTTTCACTCCTTCCCAAACCCTTTCCTTTTAATTAGTTTTCTTTGATTACTCTAGCAGACCAGAAAGAATATCTCTCTTTCTCTCTTTCTCTAAAAAGAAGAAGAAGAAGAAGAAATAAACCAATTAGACAACCCAACAGCCCAGATGAGGCTCTCTACTCTCTTTCCCTTTGGAACAAGGCACTCATCTACTGGAGATACCCATTCAAGGCATTGTCTTAGTTGCCTTCACCTTAGCTGCATCTGTAGCTAAAGATGGGTGATAAGCTTGACTGTGCATTGTTGTATCCACCAAAAGAAACAGAATATGGAGTTTGATTTTCTTCTTTCTAAGAAGTTAGATCACCCTAAAAATTAGAAATTTCTTCTTAGGGGATTTTGTTCCGACGGAAGGATCTTCTGGAACCTATTCCATTTTCTGTATGTTGGTGCCTTTGGAAGGAAAAAGCTGTCAAAGTTTTGATCGGAAGGATTTCCCATTTGAATCAGTTATTGGAAGATTGAAGACCAGTTATTTTCTTGGCCTCAGTCTTGAAAGACTTTGAAGGTCTGGACTGAATACCAGTTATTTTCTTGGCCTCAGTCATGCTTACATTGACATGTGGATCTTTATTTTGCATTGCATATGGATTACACGGTTCTCTTTCATAAAAAAAATTTGCATCTTTTGGGTGTAAATTCATCTTGCCACATTTTCATTGCCTTTTGTGGGTAAGTTCATCTTCTATGCAACATACAATTTTCTGCTTCCCTGGCATTTTATAGATTATGATACCTCATGATTTCCCTGTGGGTGAACACTGGGATGCATTATGTAACTATTCTTAGTTCATATCTTTTATTGAAATATGATGTTTATGCATTTCTACCTGTTTATCTTTCTAATTCTAATGTATAACTATCTATTCAGATTTTTAATATCCCGTAGAGTTGGTGCAGTCTGTGTCTGTAGAATATATATCAATTGTGGTTTTAGTAACACTGTTTTTATTATCCATTACAGCCAATTAAATGGAAAGAGTTGTATGAACATTGAAGCTTCCATTATCTTATCTGAAAAGCTACTCAGGTTATTACTTGTTTGAAATTTGTGCATGTAGAATTAATTTATTTGCAGTCATGGCGGGATTGGCACAAGAAGGTTCACAATTTGATGTGTTGTCAGTATGATGCCAAAATGAATGAGCTGTAAGTCTCCTCCGCTTTAAAAAAACAAAGAAAAGAAAAGAAAAAAGAAAAAGAAAACAAAATGTGAAAAAGAAAAAAGAAAAGGAAAGGAAAAAACAGGAAGAAATAGGGAGAAAAAATGCTGGTGATACATTTGGTCTTGCATGAATCTCCTCTGTGTATGTATAGTTGTATTTGTCCACTTTACTCTTGTAAATTATGTTTAATCTGTAAATTAATTAAAAGAGGATTTTAAAGCCTTCCTAATGATGATTTTGATTTAATGAGCAGGCGCACAGCAGATGGACAAGATTTTTTTCCTCGTATGACAAGTTCTGAAAGTTTTGATGCCATGGGCTTGAAAGAGTATTCTGAGGGGCATCTATGCATATGGTAGGTTCTTCATGTTCTGATATTTTTCAGTTAAACAACTTGTTGAGTATTCACATATCACGTTTAGCATGAAGCATTTGAGATTTGACATGCCAATTTATGAGATTTTGCATCAGAATTGATCTGATTGGTGGCACCTGATAAATCTCACCTGGGGTTTGAAAATTAGAACATTTGTATTTGTAGGAGATGTGTTTATGTGGAACATGACATGGTCTGGACTCCCACCTAAACATTCTTTCTGAATTGTCATTGATGGTGTTATCATGAAATTTTGTGCTGCAATGCACCATAAAGTTTGTTTTCCTTTTATGTTATGGAACTTTTTTCTGAGCTATTCACCTGAAGTTTATTTTGATGATGTTTTGATGGTTTGGCACTTTTTTTTAAGGATAGAGTGTAATACTGAAGGTCTTCTACTTTATTTGTTTCAGCAGACACAATCAGGAACGGGAAAACAGCAACTTTCTGCTCATGAATCCTGCAGAAGCTTGATTATAATCTAATTGAATGTCAGACTTTGGTTCTTGCACCCACTCGAGAACTTGCACAACAAATGGAGAAGTGTCACACTTAAGGACATTTTTTTCTATAAATGCGTCACACTTATGGACATTTGGTTGCCTGAAAATGACTTGCATATTTGATGTGTATATTAAAATGTGTAACTTAGAAAAAGCATTTTGCACTAGCTAGCCTAAATATAATTATATAAATAACACCTTAGGGGCATCTTGTTATTGTAGTTAGAGTTTAAAATAAATTTAGAAATAAGATCTATCCTCTCAAATCCAGTTAACTTGATCTATGGTCAACAAGTCATAATAAAGGTAGATGGGTACATCTGAACAAGATTTCAGCCTCTTGCTGTTTTGTTTCCCTTATTGATTAAACCAGAAAGGCAGACACAGATAGAGAAGTAGTTTTCTTGCTCATGGTTTTCAACAATATCTGTACAGGACACTACTGCTTTTGAGAATGAAAAGTGTGGGATATGAATGGATTTATCTTATCATTGACAAGGGGGTGCTAGACTGCTGCCAGTACTGATATGTCCATGGATATATCAAGCATATTTTGTTGAAGTGTTATCAAATTTATTTTCTAAATCATTTATCAAACACTTTCCTAAAATTTTGGATTTTATGTAGTGATGGATGAAAAAAAAAAAGGATTTGGGGCTCCATGCTATTTCAGTATCATAACCTGAATTTCTTTGTTCTAGTTTAACCTTATGTCTTTGTTTCTTTAAATAATATCTTGTAATTTGTTTATTTATTTTTTACCCTTAAAGAAACTATTCCCATTCATATGTAGAGGAACCTATGGTAGCAGATTTGTATCACACTATCACCTATATACAATGGTATTATTATAATAAGCCCATCATAAACCTTTTGAAATTTGAAAATAGGTTCACCAGAAAGCTCAAAATTGAACTCGAATAAGCTTGATCCATTATCAAGCTTGAGCCAAATCAAGGTCAACATATGGATTTCACTCAAGCTGAATTTGAGGTTATATTTCTAGTTTCGGCTTGAAACCACCCCTATCCATAGCCCCTTTAACTTGCAATAAATAGTCACGTGACTCACGTCTCACGGGTGCCATTGGTGGTCTTCTATGCACATGACTAAAACCATCTTAGTCTACTTTCTCTCATTTTGTCACACCTATCAGAGCTACTCCTTAGTTCTTTTGGATAATTTCATTTCTGACCCTGTCCTCTCTGGTTTTTCCACTCATTCACCTTAACACACGCATTTCCAACATTCTGCTCTGTACATAATAGCTGTTGCAGACATTCCACCACAGGACAAAATAATTTTATCTTATAAATATGAAAAGTGTCAAAGACAGTGTCATATATAAAGAATAAAAGCAATCTAATCTCAACATTACACAATATAAGGGGATTCCTTCAGTCAACTAGAGAACAATGTACATAGCAGGGGAAAAACGAAAACCAAAGCAAAAATGTATTGAGAAGCTCTACCAGGAATATAATCAAGTGCTTATATTTTGAGATTCTACCACAGGGTCCATGCATCTTGAGCTCCCTTATGCTTTGGCCTTGCAATTCTCCAAATTAGACCCCTTATATAGAGAAAAGGACTGCTTGTCGCCATTCAATCAGAATGGAGATCTCTACTTTGGGACCTCCTTTCATGCCGATGGGAATGTTTGCTATATCTATGGCGCTTGTGAGAGTGTTCTTCCCTGTCAACTGAGCTCCTTGGTCTTCTAGGCGGTGATGGGACCTATAACCATTTAAGGCAATATTCATACTGTTACTGTTTCATACTAATAAGTCAGATTTAGCAGCAAAAGGCTCATCCCTAAACAAGGATAGGGCTGGTTTATCTTCCCCAACAAAGCTAGGGTTGTCAACCAGGCAATATTTCTCTTCTCAGCTTAGACTTAAAATATCAGCAAGGCTCATCCAGCCAATATTCCTATGACTCAAGGATCCAAGAGAACCAAGCTCTGATCAACCCATCTAGTTGAACAAGCTTCAATTAAGTCTGGGGCAGTGGAGCTTGTCCCATGAACCTAACTATTATGCTCAAGCCCACATCAAGTGAGCTGAGCACAAGGAGCTGAGTTAACTACACTTACTGACAGCCTTATAGATGGAACTTCATGCTAACTAGTTCTTGAATCTTGAATGACATGTCATAAAGTTGTTGAAAATAAAATGTTACCTGAAAGCGTGACATGTATCTTCCTTCGGGAGGAGGTGGAATCCCAAGCCTTTTCAAATCGTCCAAGGGAATTGGTCGCCTAGTTTCATGAAGGATACATGCAGCTTAATAATCAAAGATGCATATAGTTATTACTATATAATAAAAGAACAGCATTATTTTAACTAAATCCTTCTCATTTTAGTATGATATTAGGACCACATCTCTTTTTTATCCAAGAGCTCTTTCTAAATGTAACTTTTCAGTGAGAAGTCTTTACCTAACCTATGAACTCAAGTTAACAGATCTGTTAATACAGAGAACCATAATACAAATCAATGTCAATTGGGGCAAGTGAACATTTGAGCATTTGATGAGGTCAGTGTATCTGTACTTTCCATATCCAATAAGTTATCTTCCTGTTGGATATGTTTATTGTAGAGATGTAGTACAGTAGTTTTGTGGGGTCCCTCTTTATGTTTATGTTTCTTTTTTTTTTTTTTTGCTGTATTGTTTTCTCTTTTCATACAGGCGGCAGCCAGCAGGGGTATTAGTGTAATTGTACTGATGTTTTATTTTACAAACATATAAACAGAACTATGGGGTGGCAGGACCACCACTAACTCTACCCCCTTTTCAATCTCTCTTCTCTTCTGCTCTCCACTCTTATATTCTCATCAGAATATAGATTGATTTTCAGGCATATTATTCTACGTGTTGCTCTCAAATAAATTAAATTGTAACTTTCTATAAAATAATGTAACAGAAACAAATGTTAAATGATCAGAATGTAGGTGTACCATTCCAGTGTTGGAAACCATATAGCAGCATCATTACTTTCATGTGCATGGCCCTAATAAGCTAGTTGCAATCACCATAATCAACATTTTCAAATATAGAAGTAAAAATCATTCTATGTTTGAAAAACTGTCAAGAAGATATAGATGTTATGGGTAGGGCTGGCAATCTTGACCCCAACCCATTTGACCCACCCACCTTGGAACCCATCCATACCCACCCGATCTATTGGTAGGTCAATATGGGTCAAGTAACCCATTAGGGTCAATGAAAAAGGGTCAGGGTGGGTTGGGTCAAGGGTACCCATTAGGGTCACGATGGGTTGCATCAAAGTCAACTCTATCTATACTCACCAAATCTCAAAAAAACAACAGTTGAAGTGACTCGAACTCAAGCCTCTTAGCACATTCACATCTCATTTTACACAAAAACACTTTTACAAAAGCAATTTTATAAAGTAATTTTATGAAAAGGACTTTTACGAAAGCACTTTTACACGAAAGCACTTTTATAAAAGCACTTTTACGAAAGTACTTTTACGAAAACACTTTATGAAATCATAAAAACACTTTTACAAAAGTACTTTTACACGGAAGCACTTTTATGAAAGTACTTTTACAAAAACAATTATGAAAGCATAAAAGTACATTTACGAAAGCACTTTTACAAAAGTACTTTTACATGAAAGCACTTTTATAAAAGTACTTTTATGAAAGCATAAAAACACTTCTATAAAAGTGCTTTTACAAAAGCACATTTACAAAAGTACTTTTATGAAAGCACTTTTACGGAAGTACTTTAATAGTACTTTTGTGAAAGCACTTTTAGCGTACTTTTGTGAAAGCACTTTTACAAAAGCACTTCTATAAAAGTTATGCATTTTTTTGCATTTTACGCACTTTTTCTGCTATTTTTTGTAATGTTTTGGTATTTTTCTGCATTTTGTGCTTTTCTACATAATTTTTGCATTTCTCAGGTGTTTTTCATGCATTTCTTGCATTTTTCTAGTATTTTTTGCATATTTTCTGATTTTTCTACAAAAGTTCTTAATTTCCTGCAATTTTTTCTACTATTTTCTACATTTATCTACAATTTTTGCATTTTCGGGTATACGGGTTGACCTGACTCGGTTTTGTCACGTGACAGATTTGAATAAATTTAGGAAAGATTAGATTTGAATAAATTAGGAAAGATTGATTAAGGGAAAGATTTAATCAATCCCTAATTGAGAGAGATTCTAGGAGTAAATGAGAGAGATCCTAGGAGTTTGTCTCTCCTATCTTTTCTTATTTAAGCCGTATGCTCAACATGTTTTATCAACACATTATCAATACAGAAATATTTCTTCTTCTCTCCCTCTTCATTTCTTCTTCTCTTCCTCTTTATTTTTCCACATGGTATCAGAGCTTTAGGGTCTGATCATGAATTTTAAGGCCGCCATGGTTGGCTCTGGTTCAGCCTCTTCAGATGCTACCAGTGGTGTGACATCTTTGGAGGGAGGTATTCAGTCAGCGGCCATTCTCTCTCTGAGAATTCTCTTCAGATTACCATTCACAAATTGAATGGAAAGAATTATCTTGAGTGGTTTCAGTCCGTGCAGTTGGTGATCGACGGCAAAGGAAAGCTCGGCTATTTGAATGGCAAAGTAAAACCGCCAGCCACTAATGATCCAAAGTGCAGGCAGTGGCGTTCTGAAAATTCTATGGTTACCGCCTGGTTGATCAACTCTATGGATCCTGTGGTTGGAAAACCATTCATGTTCCTGCCAACTACTCGTGATGTGTGGGAAGCTGTTAGGGAAACCTATTCAGATCTGCACAATCATTCACAACTGTTCGAACTGAATACCCGAATGTGAAAGATGCAGCAAGGTAAGCATGAAGTAACTGCTTATTATAATGAGATGATGGCTGTTTGGAAGGAGCTGGATTTATTTGAAGAAGAAGAATGGGAAAGTCCGAGTGACAGTGCTTGGTACAAAAAGAAGATAGAAAGAGGTTGGGTCTTTGTCTTCTTGGCTGGTTTGAATAAAGAACTCGATGAAGTTCGGGGACGTATCTTAGGGCGAAAGCCCTTGCCTACTATAAGAGAAGTTTTTTCAGAAGTGCGTAGAGAAGAAGCACAGCGGCAAGTGATGTTGAAGATTGTTAATGAAACAAAAACCGAGAATGAAGGGTCCGCTCTTGTAGCCCGAGGTGCAGATGTAGACGGAGATAAACGAAGAGGAAAGCAAAGGCCTTGGTGTGATCATTGTAAAAAGCCATGGCATACTCGGGAAACCTGCTGGAAGCTACACGGGAAACCAGCAGGTTGGAAGAAAAAATCAGACAATGACAACAAGTCAGGGGGAGATGTCCGCGCGCTTCAAGTAAGCAATTCGGATCCAGGGCAAAAATCATCCTCAGAGTCTCTTCCTTTCACAAAAGAACAAATATAGCACTTATATAAAATGTTTCAATCTCAACCGTTAAGAAACTCTAACCCATCCTGCTCTCTAGCCCAGTCAGGTAATTTTTTCACTGCAGCCATTGCTTGTACCAAATCTAATGGCTCTTGGATATTAGATTCAGGTGCCACTGATCATATGATCGGCACTTCACAATTCTTTTCTTCATATACACCCTGTGCAGGGAATCAAAAGGTTAAA